AATTTTGCAGTTGGACAAAAAGGTTGTAAAATCATACATTTCAAGAATATAATTTTAATCGTGTAAAGTTATCAATATACATATAGTACGTATCTATTTGACTTGCTCACAATATGTGTATATATTTGACTTGTCAACGCTATCAATATGAGTATATACTTGACTTGCCATCATTATCATCATCAAAACAATGTCCGTAAGGCGGAAGAGTCATCTTTCTTCTGATGCATTCAACAGCTTGCAATTATCAAGAAAAGACAAACCATAGTAATTGAGACTTCACACTGATATTAAGAAAGGTGAATCTAGTAACATCAAAGATGATCCTGCTGTGCTCATCTAGAGGAACTACATGGTGAAAGTCATGCAAAGTTCCACATTTTCAATGGACATGCCTTTAACAGAAATTGCTATTGTGGACAACTGATTCCTTCACAAGAGCGCCTATAATGAAATAATTCTGTTGCAAGAGTTGGTTTTTATGGATGAAAACAGTAGACCACATAGAACTCGTGCAGAAACTGCTGGAAAATAAAGATATCACTCGATTGGATTGGCTGTTTTTTCTTTTTACACCTAAATCGAATTTAACAAGTCTAGAATGTTTCGCAGAGACAAATCTCTGCAGGATCCTATTCGCTTAAGAGTTACAAATAACTGACACAGATATTTATTAAGAAATGATATCTTCAACAACTGCTCGATAATTTGACATTGAAATAGAGTGAGGATTGCATTATAGTTAGGGAAGAAAATATTTCCCTACTTTACGACATCTGCTTTGTTGTTCTTTTATTTGGGTACACAATCATAAGAAATTCTCCTGTTTCAATGAAACAATTGTCCTATTCGATTCAATACTGCATGCGTAATATTCATTTTTGAGCTATTATTTTTCATTTCCGTATTTAAATTAAAAAGTAAAAAGTTAAGTAAAAGTTAAATTTAAGTAAAATTCTGTTTTTTACGTCTTTCAGAAGGTTTCTTGCAGAGTTATTTTGTGCAGTAAAATACTAATCCAGCATCAGGTTTTGCTCCCTTAATATAATTTAATTTCCAATCTTTCTTGACAGCATGATTCGTAGCCTAGTAGAACTTATTCAGCAGAAATGCAGGAGGGCTCTGGTTCGTATTCTGTCATGGCGTCTGCTTTCCAGCCGAGGAGACTTACTATTTAGACAGCATGTGTACATGACTCGTATCGACCTCAGATTGTTTGTTTGGAGTTTTCCAGCTTTCCCCCATGCGTCGAGAAAATACAGGATAATTGCCCCTAAAAATTATTCCCGGAAGATAGTGTCCTCTCCTCATTAGTGGACCGTTCGAGGCATGCATAAGTGGAACACGAGACTTGACGATGCACGGCAACAACAACAACAAAAAAAAATCTTAACAATTTCGCTGCAAGACACGCTCCGTGACTATGGAGGGATGGCCAGTCACGCGTTCGCGCGGGAAGAGCTCTCCTTTTCAATCGGCAATACATGTTAGGTGTCTCTGCTGGTGTTGAATTGGAGTAAAAGTTAGAAGTTACTGAAAGTCGCGTAGTTTCGAATGAATAGCTTTATTAGCTATTGAAAAAATCTTGTAATATGAGTTGCAGAGACGATAATTCTGCAACTTATTCACAACCTCAAAAAAGGAAAATTCAATCTGTAGTGTGTAGGTTGGGCTACCAGATTGTAAATGGATGAGGCTGGGTTGAGATACTTGAGACACAGGTTGGTGAACTCACAGCTTTATTGACACGCGCACAAACACCACATGCAATTAGAGACATATATTATTTACTATTTCAAAATCATATAATTATAAATTCAGGGATGATTACGATGGGCGATGATTAGTAAAACAATAGACAATTGAAAAAAAAAATTAAAGTCAAACTGTTTTGGAACATATGGTGAAGACTAAGCCATAAAGCCATGAATTTATTTTATTCTGCTGTATTAAGAATTTATAACAAGAACATATTGTTGAAAATATTTAAAATGAGAGAGAAATAAAAGCAACATATGCTGTTTTTTTTTTAAAAAGAGATGATTAAATAAAATATTTTTTTATCCTGCTTTTTTTCCTTACCTACATTGTGTGCTTTTAACGTTGCAATAAAAGAAACTGCTTGTAAAAAAAAGGGGTATTTTTAAAACTGCATTGAATTGGTTTGATAGTGAAAAAACAAAATCGCAAATTTTATTAATACTTACTTCAACTTTAAGACATGCTTTTTTATAGCTTTAGAGAAGCAATAAAAAAATTATTTTTATCTTATGAACTAATCTGATGGGATTACCATCTGAAGAAACGCACAAAATCACTCTGTGCATTTTATAAAAAAATTGTATGCTATAATACAGAGTTATTTTAAAGTATGAACTGAAATAATAAAAAAAAGCCATAAAAAAACTTTGAATCAGGTAATAATTTACTAATTAATATTCACCGACGAATTGTATTTTGCATGACATAAAAAAGAGTTACATTTTACATCATTATTACATCAGAAGGTGCTCCTGCAAGTTGCACTATAGCTGCAAGTTGTCAATGTGTCTGGCAAAAAATTTCACTAAGGGCAACCATGTTGTTACACCTGACACAGAGTTAAAAAATCAATGGGAATGGCTGGCGTCTTTTGCCTTACACAACTGGAAATCACAAAATGCCAGATCTGTTGATCTTGGAGGCCATTTATGTGTGTTACGATTGTTCAGGGGACGATCGGTGCCGAACGCCTGAAGTTTTCTTGACTTTTATGTAAATTCTTTTCACAAAACCATGTATTTCTGCAATCACGGTGACAGCACAAAATTTTATTATTTTGGCACATTAATAAAAACGCGTCTGTAGTACTCCATAACAGTTTTATGACTTACTTTAACGATAACTATTTTTCGTTTTTATGTACCTTAAAAACCTCGTAAATCTTTTTCTTTTTTTAAAAATCTCATTTTAAGGTTATTGCAAATTTTTCTGTCCTCCTTCCTCCATGAAAAGACGTCTTCTTCTTCGCCTATCCCCAAAGTCCAGCGGGGCTAGACCATGTCCATGAATCCAAATATCCGAAGAAAGTCCAAGACCATCGACGGACTGTCAAGGAGACATCTGAGCAACGGGCACGCCAAGATGTGAGATGGGGAAGCCTGCTCAGAGGAGCACTTGGTGCAAGTGTCGAAAGTTTTCAAACATGAAAAGACGTTTTACATTAAAGTGTCCAATGTGGTGGAGGGTGCGTTTCGTGTCCAGTTTGGGAGAGCCACCATCCATTGGCTTATGAATTGACAAGAAAAGGGACAGCGAAATTTCTGTCATTAATTACGGTGAAGATCTTGAATAATGAGGAATATGTTATGCGAATACCATTCCAGTGGAGATGGACTTCAGTTTGGAGTGCCCAGTAATGAAAATTAATAGGGACATATTAACCAATGACGATTGCAGAGTTTTTTTTTTTTTTTTTTTTTTTTTTTTACATGTACCTCAGACTGTTTACATTTAAACTTAAGGTTACTATTTAATAATATCCAGAAATCTCGTTTTTTTTTTAACATTACCTATCTTCAAAAGGCGGCCTGAATATCAATGCGAGATGTTCTGCAAACATTTTCATAGTCATCATCGAATCGCCTCGATTCTGAGAAAGATGACTAGCCTTAGTAGAGTGTCTTGCACCGACTGTCATACTCTATTGGGGTTAGTGGAAATGTGCTCAGCTGTATTGAGGTTGAGGTTTTAATCCCCTGGTGGCGTCCGTTGTAGTCATTGTTTTCAGAAAAGAAGAGATTCTGTTCCTACTACGACAACATGTTGAAAGCATCTCGCATCTACGACACGCAAATGCGGGGCAGTCACGCCTAAAAGAGCTCCCATGGCTATCTGTGGGCTGTTCGCCGCACGGAAAATACCTCAATAAAAATATAAACAAGTAATATAAAAAAAAAAAATTAAGTCAATTCCTACTTTTTTTTCACTTTATTGCAGAAAAGTCCCTTATAAATAATTTTCATTCTTTTTTTTAAGTTTATCTGGCACCATCTATTGGTAGATATATGCAACTTAAATCTAAAAAATATTAAAATTAATTAATTTAATTTAATTACTGAATTAACATTTGAAAAAACTGCATTAACGTCCAGTGTCCTCCACTACAAGCTCAAAAAAAATCTATTTGAACTCGAGTGGATGAATAGAAAGTATTTTTATGAACGATTGAAAATTTGAACAAGATATAGATAGGGAGAGTGTGAGCTAATAGAAGAAATTGGGGAAAAAAAAAAAAAAAAAAAAACTTGAAGACCTTTTCTCACCTTGATTTTCGAACGAATTCTGATAACTCAGTGCGAATCTTTTTTCAGTTTTAGTGGGAATTGGTCTCAGTTCAGTGGGAGTCACTTTAGCGTCTCACAAAACCAAGTGTAACTCAAGCACTAATGAATATTTTGACGTAAAGTTTCACACCGATGTCAAGGACAGTGCCAACAACCTAAAAAAGAAAGAAAAAAATTGAAATACCATATGCGGGACCATATGCCTATATGCCCAAAAAATTTTAATTGAAAACTGGTCTTACTTTTTGGACACAGTAGTATATGCATATATAGTTAAGAGCATATATATGTATATGAATGTGTATATCTCATGTGTGTGTGCAGATACGTGAATGTGTATGCATATGCATATGCGCATATGTGTATGCATTTGCATCTGTACATATGTTGTTGTTGTTGTTTCTTATCCCACTTGGCTGGCCAAGCCCACGAGCCCATATGGACTCATGATTGAAGGGGAAGGAAGCAGCTTCTGTTGTGATGGAGCACCCCGTAGGTAGAAGCCTGACTTTTGCTCCGTGACGCTCTTACAGTCATAGGAGACCGGGACCTACGGCTTAAAGTGGATTCCGAACCACTACAAACATCCATGGCACCGCCGGGATTCGAACCCGAAACCTGTGACACCGAGCGCCAGAGCGCTAGACACTCGGCCATTCAGGTCCCAATTTTGCCAACGGCACGCAGTGTTCCCAGGTGGTCACCCACCCAAGTACTGACCACGCCCAATGATGCTTAACTTCGGTACATATGTGAATGTGTATATATGAGTATATGTACGTGCATGTATGGTTATATATATATATATGTGCATATAAGTTCTTGTGTATGTGTGTGTGCATGTAGTGAAATAGGCATATGTATACGCACATATTTATGTGTATGTGTACGTGTATAAAAAGCATGCATGTGTATGTATTTATGTGTATATATGTGTATATATGCATGCATATTTATGTGTGCGTATGAGCCTGTATGTGCATATGCATTTATGTGCGTGTGTATAAATGTGTGCATGTTCTTACGTATGTATATGTGGAAGCATGCATGCATGTATGTACGTTCATTCAAGAATTTCTTAAGTGAAAACCATAATTCTCATTAATTTGATGATTGATTCTGAAATACAAAATATCACTGCTTGTGATCCTACTCCTCCCTCTAATGCAAAACACTCCTGGGTTACATGTTAAATACGTCGATTGAAATTCCATCTCATTAGTTTTAAGATTTTATCGTTATCTTGCTACGCTTTCTAACTTTATATGATTATTTTATTTTAATTTTTATCCATTTATTAATTGGACATTTGGTAATCTTCACTTACACTGAATTCGCTGCACTACTGGTTCATCAGACTTTTTAAAACACCTTATAAAGTCTCAATTCTCGCCGTGTGCTTCAAATTGATCATGAAATGAATTTTAAGACTTGTTCGGTTAAGCACTATAATGAACTACAGAACCGAAAAAAAAAATTACGCATTCCGATTAAAATATTAATAAAGCATTTAACTCCATGGCTGTTTACTTACCAAATATTCGATTAAATGCTTAATTGGGTTTTTAATATAAAATATGATGAAATTTATATATATACACAGTCCTGTCATATTAATGTGAACTCCTGTCAAAAGCCAGAAGAAAGCCTTTGGCAGAGCGGACCGCTGCAAGACGTGCAGGAAGAGAGTCAATTAGATTTCTGAAGGTGTTCACTGGGATGTTGAGCCATGCCTATTCCAGTGCCGTTACCAGCTGCGCTAGATTACGCTGTTGAGGATTCATGGCACGAACAACCCGATCGAGGTGATCCCACAGATTCTCGTTTTGTTTGATGGCCAGGGGAATACGGTAAACTCATCCTGGTGCTCTTCGAACCACGCACATACACTGCGAGCTGTATCACACCTCGCATTGTCCTGCTGGTAGATGCCATCATTCTGAGGAAAAATAATTCGCATGTAGGGGGGACATGGTCCGCAAGGACAGATGCATACTTGTGCTGATCCATCGTGCCTTCCATAATGATGAGTGCACCCAGTGAATGTCAGAAAAACATCCCCCAAACCATAATGCTCACTCCTCCAGCTTGGATCCTTCCGGCAATTGTTGCAGGGTGTTTGCTTTCAGACGTTTCACGCTGTATACACCAACGTCCGTCAGTCCGATGGAGCATAAAATTTGATTCATCGGAAAAGCCACTTGTCGCCACTCTGTGGACGTCCAGTTTCGGTACTGGGGTGCAAATTCCAGCCTTCGTCACCGATGAACAGCAATCAGCATAGGTGCATTAACCAAGAGTCTGCTGCGGAGGCCCACGCGTAACAACGTTCGATGAATCGTTGTTGAGGATACACTCTTGGTAGCCCCTTGGTTCATCTAGGCGGTCAGTTGCTCAACAGTTGCACGTCTATTCGCCCGAGTGCATCTCCGTAGCCTTCGTTCTCCTCTGTCATCTATAGCCACGCGGTGCACCACATGTGCCACGCCGCTGATTTTGGATAGTACCATTTTGCCATGCACGGTATACTTTTACCACGGCGGCACGCGAACAGTTCATAAAATTAGCCATTTCCGAAATGCTTCCACCGTTGGCCCGAATGCCAATAATCATGCTCTTTTGGACGTCGGATAAATCGTTACTTTTCTGCATTACGCCAACGATTGAAATTCTTTCCGATGCCTTAGGACATCCTTTATATACACTTTACTGCAATGTGCTGCCACCTGCCTTTGGTGATTAGTAATTTCAGGTTGACGTCGAAAGTAGGTGATGGTCACATTAATGTGACTGGACTGTATATATATACATATATTATACACATTGTGTTTAATACAATTTTTATAACAATAATTTAAGAATTTTTAAAAGAACACGAATAATTAAATAATTTTTGTAAATTAAATATATATATATATATATATATATATATATATATATATATATATATATATATATATATATATATATATATATATATATTGTAGTTGAATATGTAATGCAAAAAGTAAACAGAGCGTGGAATGTTTAGTCTTCTTATTAATATGCTTTGTATTGTAAAAAAATATTATTATTTGTACTAAATTTATATATTTTTTATTAAATTATAATATATCCTGTAAAATTATGTACATTTTCTGTATATGAAGATATACTTTTGAGCGGTGTAGCTAAATATTATATTGTGGCGCCATCTAATGTTCATAAATGTTACAATATATTTAATGCATATATATATATTTTTTTTTTCCTTTGAAAACGCCTACGTGTATTTATTTGAAATTCAAGTCATCTTTCTTTACAAAATTCATTTAGTTAAAGCATTTCTAATCCCCATACTTTAAAATATCTTAAACCAAAATTTCCTTCAGTTTCTGTGAATAGTAAAACAGCTAGGGACTCGTATATAGAGACGTTTTTTTTTTTTTACATTCACTCTATACTTGTTTCATTAAATTTTTATTTTATTTAAATAACTATACAGTGGATATATTGTTTTTTAAAAAAACTAATGTTTTCTTATATTTTGCTAATGAAAAAAAAAAATTTTTTTTTGACATTTAGCCCATGAAGTCAGCCTCATGAAGTCATCGGTGTTTTCCGTACCCATCGAGATTTGACGTCTTTGAGGCACAAAACATCTTTTAAGATGGAAATGACCGATCCTTTTGAAATTCCAACATCATCAGCAAGATCTCTAATTGTAAATCGACGGTTTGCAAGCACCCAATCTTTAAGTTTTTGGACGTGAGCTTCGTGGGTTGAGGTGAATGGTCGAACAGAGGGCTCTTCGTCTTCAACGCGTTCTCTGCCTTCATTGAACTGTTTATACCACTTCTAACTATTTCTTTCCGATGTAGGAATGCTCACCGAATGCCTTCTGCAACATTCTATACGTTTCCGCAAACAAACTTGAATACAAGTTCTTTGCTCAATTAATTCAGACATTTCAAAAATCAGTTTTTGCGTCCCACAAAGCCAAGCTTAACTCAAACACTAATGCATAATTTGACATCAAATTTCCCACAGACGTCAAGGACAGTGCCAGCAAACTGAAAAAGAAAATTCCATAAGAGCGCCGGGAATTTTAAATTGAAAATGGGTCTTACTTTTTTGACACAGTAGTATTCTCATAAATGTGTCACAAAAATTTGCTTTAACTACGATCAGAAATGTTAATGTTAAATAAAGGAATGTAAAAAACATAAAATCTATCAGTAATAAAAAAAAATCTATTTATTGACACACAAAAACGAAATTTTTGGAAATATTCAATTACATTTTTCATATCTTCATTTACAAAAACGAACGTATTTTGTTACCGAGAAATTAAACTGAAATTGTAAATTATTTTGCACTGATTTTTCACTAGCTGTGAAAATCAGTCTGAATAAATTTCTACAGCTCCAATCTGGTCGTTTTTATGCCCTGTTTTACAAGAAATTTTTTTTCGATAAATTAATAAAGTGAATCATTAAACACTTTATAACAGCTTATTGAATAAATAATATTCATTGAATTATAATTATGAACATATAATTCATACTATAAATATCAAATGAGGAATTAGTGTCCGTCAGATGTCTTGTGGCAGGTTGTCGATTCAAGTGCAACTTTTCTGTAAAAAAAAAGCAATGCTAGTAGCGCCAGATGTCCAGTTCCTCATAGACGCTGTTGTTTCAGATCCGCAATATCAACCAGATGTATATAGTATATAGTTAACGAATTGTGACCATGCAGTATTGGTTTGCAAACCACAAAGTCTTATCCATTCTGCCAATTGGCGAAATCTCATTATAGTTGAAAGAATATGGGACACGTTTGAAAGGATTATTAAAAAGTGAGATCTGCAGAGTCCCATATTGAGTACTCTGAAGAAGCAACTGTTCACGGATTAGATCAACTGCACATGAATGCACTTTCCCTGCAATGACTAAATGCCAGAAGACTGATTCCAACTCATGGTGATAAAATAAATTGAGGATTCTTTATATTTTTTTGTCCAAGGGGCGTAGAAAAGTTCTCGTTAAAGGTGCTCGATCTAGTCTTATTGAGATCTCGTTCTGGTTTCCTTGAAAGGCGGATCTTTGTTGTAACACCGTCCTTTCATTCCAACGAAAATTAATTCGCTTCCTTCAGGATCGTGTAGCTGGATGGATCGCAGATCATCAACCAATTCATATTTCCACTTAGTGGCAGGCACCAGTCTGATCCCACTGCTGACTGCTGAAGGATAAGTAAATTGAGTGGTTATAGAAGCCCGTAACCACACGTATTCGAAGATAGTGCTGGATCTCAATTGAAGCCTAGCACATGGAATACCATTTAAGTCATCGCACCTAACGAGAACGCATTCCTCTTCGCACCAGCGATACATGTTAAGTATATTGTAAGTGCCATTGAATACTCCTAAATAAAACTGTCCTTCAAGACCCCTCGTAGAGTAAGAAAGCGTGCAGCACAGCCCATTGTTGCAAGCCGTAACGTTTCCGGAAGACTTTTCTAGTTTTTCCAAAGTATAATTCTGCAGCATTGGCTCGTTCATGCAGTGATATCCACTTTTTGGAAAACAACTGCTTGGGACATCTTTACCGTCTTCAGTATATGGCCAGGTGTCGTTGGCAGTGATAGCTGTGATGCTTGCATTCGGAAACACTTTAGCTGCTCCAGATTTGGCTATTCTGGCAACGACTAGTTTGGAAATACCATCTGGGTTGAAAGTATACGCCAACGCTCCATCAGTACCATGGAAGAT